CTGCACCTGGCAGGATTTGACCCATATGGTTCTCTATTTGGCCTCCTAGATGCTCCAGCCCTTCAGGATATTGTATAATCCTCTTTTGGCCTTAGCATGTTCTCTGTCTCTCCCAGGTCATTGGCAGCTGCCCTTCATAACGATGGCCAACCTACAGGAACTGACCCCCAGTTCCACCTGCCTTACCAGACCGGCTGTGATAGTTGATACATTGTTTCAACTTGGCCGAATTGGCTGTGGCTGTTCTGGGGGCGGCCCAGCCTTGCAGGTGGGCAGGGCCCAGCCTGCTGAGCTATTGGGCCCCCACTGGGGTGCAATTGGTTCAACCCTAGGGCCATGGGCCGCCTCAGAGTGACTCCGCACAGAAAGTGTATGTAAAGAAATTGCGGAAGGCTTCCTGGGCCCTGCCCTGCTTCAGTGGAGAAGTCCCAGCCCTCAGAGGAGCTAGATCTTCGCAGCCGCACCACGATCTTCGCCGTGGAGCAACGGGTCTTCTCAGCGCAGAAGGAAGAGAGAGACTTGATGGACGCCGCAGCTGCTGCCCCTCCTCTGCTCTTCATCGTTTTCTGCCTCCATGAACTGCTGTCGTTTACCTTGGAGCCAGCAGAATATGGACTGAACCCTCCAGTAACTGTAAGCTAAATAACCCTTTCCATCCTTCACTTTGACTGTCAGGTGTTTGACTGTCCCACCAATGAGTAAAAAAGTAACTAAGACACCACCCTTAAGGCAGCCTGGGCCAGCCCAAGAAAAAAAAATCTTATGCAGCAGAGGCCAGTGGTAGCTGATTGGGACCCACCCAGACGAACTTCAACATGAAGCAGACCTGGAATGTCATGCTGAGATTTTTAAAAAATCTTTTCTATTTATTTATTTGGACAGGGCCTTGCTATGCAGCTTGGACTCATAGTGATCCTCCTGTCTCAGCCTCCCCAGTGCTGGGATAACTGGTGTGTGCCATCACACTCGGAGTTCTGGGGCTGGCATGGCATGCCACACCAGGAATCGAACCTGGGTCCTTGCACTTGCCAGGCAGGCACTTAGACTGCTGAGCCAACTCCCCAGTCCTAATTTTTTTTTTTTTTTTTTTGAGACAGGATCTCACCATGTAGTCCAGGCTGGCCTCAGATTTTCAGCAATCCTCCTGCTTCAGCCTCTCAGGTGCTGGGATTACAGGCGTGGGCCACCACACCTGGCAATGCCGGGATGTTTCACCCTTGTCCCACAGGCAGTGGGGGGCCATGAATGGTTTTGGAGAAGACCAAAAATATATAAAAACCAGATGTGTGCTTAGAAAAGATCAGAACAACGAATATTTGGAATTTCTTTTCTCCTAACATTGTTCTTTTTCTCTGGCATTGATGCTTGATTTAGGGGCTTCCTACCCAGGCCAGCGGGAGCCCTTACATTATCTCTAAATGAATTTTCCTTCCAGGAATTGGAGTTGAACCCAGGGCCAGCACTTGGGAGGCAGAAATAAAAGGAGGATCACAAATTTGAGACCGCCCTGGGCAATTTAGCAACATAGTGACACCCTGCCTCAAAATAAGATATATAAACCATTCATTCTATTGAAGTGTGGATGCCATTTAGAACATCTGTGGTGTTGGTAACCGGTACACCCCAGAAGGAGAACCCTGACCCCACGAAGTGGCCTTTGGTATTGCCTATTGGTAGAGAATTCAGGGTGATTTCACCCCGCAGCCACAGAAGCCAGTGGAGAAGGGGAAGAAATAGAAACAAGGCAGAGACTGATGTTTTTCTATCCTTCTCCCCCAGAGAGCAAGCTTGCTTGCTTGCTTTTTCAGTGCTGGAGATTGAACTCACAACCTTCACACTGAGCTCCTCTCCTAGCCTTTATTCATCTTAATTTTGAGATAGGATCTTGCTAAATTGTTCAGACTGGGCTGCAACTTGGAATCCTCCTGCCTCAGCCTCCTGGATTACCGGGATTACAGGCATGTGCCAGGATGTTTTTGATCTAAGGCTTTTAACTTTTACCAGGTCAAATTCCTCTTCAGGCAATCATGGAAGTGCAATTCCTTCTGCCCCGACACTGAGATGCGACATTTTCTAGGTCATTTCACGAATGTGCAGCAGCATCCTCCCCGGCACGACCCAAGGATGTGTGGTCTCTAAAGCACTTCTAGGAAGATCCAGAAGCAGTGGGGCCAGGGAGATGGCTCAGTGGAATAAGCGCATCCCTGGCAAGTGCAAGGGCCTGAGTTCAATCCCTGGTTCCACAAAAAAAAACAAAAAAAAAAAAAAAAGGAAGATCCAGAAGCAGAAACCAAGGTCAGGCGCAATACACTGGTGACTCAGCACAGTGTAGAGAGCAGCGGGGAGAGAGACCTGGCTTCAAGGCCAGGCTCTGGTCCCGGCAGCTCACTTGCCCTTCCTGAGCTGCGTCTACAGTACAGACGGGGCTCTCAGCTGTTTGAAACAACGCACCCCAGGGCCCGGGCAATGTCCCCAGAGACTTATTTTGGGCGGGCAGTACCAAGAGCAGTGCTATGAACACTGCAGCTCATCCAGTAAACCCGCCGAAGAGCCGCAAGCCAGGAGAGGAGGCTGAGGCAGGACGGCGAGACCGTCGAGCCCATCCTGGACAACTTAGCAAGCCCTACTAAATTTTTTTTTAAAATGTAATGGTTGGAAGCATTCAGGAGGCTGAGGCAGGAGGGTCACTGCAAGTCTGAGGCCAGCCTCAGCTACATAGTGAGTTCAAGACCAGGTTGAACTATATAGCAAGACCCTGGTATAAATAAATAAATAAATAAATAAATAAATAAATAAATAAATAAATGCTGGTGTAGCTCAGGGCTTAAGCCCTGGGATCAAACCCCAGCACTACAAGAGAGAGAGAGAGAGAGAGAGAGAGAGAGAGAGAGAGAGAGAGAGAGAATATGATGGGGTTGCAGTGGTGGAAGGACTCTTTCCTACTGTTTTTTTTTTTTTTTGTAGTGAACCGGGGACTGAACTCAGACCCTTGCACTTGCCAGGGAAGCGCTTATTCTACTGAGCCATCTCTCCGGCCAAGAACACTTGATGAGTGAACGGAAGGATGCAAATATGACTGATGGAACAGTAAATAGAGGATGCAAAATGCATGACTCTACAATAGATGGACTGATGGACAGATGAACAGAAGGATAAGTGGATGGGTGATGAATTAATGAATGAGTAAATTAAGAAAAGAATGGATGGGTGGATGGTTCGGTACAGTATTCAGTATATGAATGAGGGGAATGGATAGGTGGATGGATGGGTGGATGGATGGATGGGTGAGTAAATAAAGGTTGGATATATGGATGATTTAATTGAAAATTCAATACATGGGTAAATGGATACTTTAATGGATAAATTAAAGGATGGGTAAATTTATAAGTGGGAGGATGGATGGATAGATAAATTAATGGAGGAGGATGAAAAGTTAGGTAAAGCAAAGAAAGAATGAATGGATAGAGTCAGACATGGTGACACACACCTGTAATCCCAGCACTCAGGAGGCTGAGACAGGGTCATTGCAAGTTTGAGACCAGCCTGGGCCACAAAGTAAGCTCAAGGCCAGCCTGAACTGCTTAGTGAGACCTTGTCTCAAAACAAAACAAAACAAAAACAAAAATGAGTGAATGGATAGATCAATGGAAAAATTAATGGATAGGTAATTTGAAGGATAGAAGGCTGGGTGTAGTGGCACAAGCTTGTAATCTCAGCACTCAGGAGGATGAGGCAGAAGGATCACCACAAATTCAAGGCCAGCCTGAACTATGTAACAATAACTTGGCTCTGAAAAAAGAATGAAGGGGTAATTTAATGCATAGGTAAATCAACATTCTAGTACATATGCTGCCAAAGCAAGCATGTGGATAGGTAAATCAAAGGTACCTGGACAGGGGGGCTGGGGAGATGGCTCAGTAGAATAAGTGCTTGCCTGGCAAGTGCAAGGGCCTGATTTCAATCCTTGGTTTTGCCAAAAAAAAAAAAAAAAAAAAAAAAAAAAAAAAGTACATGGACAGATGGATGGATCAGTCATGTATGGATGAGTAGCTGGGTGTATGTGTAAATGAATGATTGAATTAAAGTACAAATAGATGGATAGATGCTTGGCAGACTCTATAGAAGAACACTTTACACACATTAGCTTCCTTTATTCACACGGAAACCCCATGAGGGAGGCAGTATTATTTTACTTTGTTTTATTTAGGGGGTACTGGAAATTGAACTCAGGACCTTGTACTTGCCAGGCAGGCGCTTGTGTTGCTGAGCTATCTCCCCAGCCCAAGAGAGAACCTTGCTTATAAACAAGGTGCTGAGCTTCAGAAGCAGGAAAATCACATCCTGGAGATTACACAGCTAGACAGTGAGCAAGCAGGGACCACACTCAGGTCTGTCTGGATTCACGCCCTGTACTCTTAGCCCCCACAAACACCTTGCTCCCTGCTACCTCCCACTGCTTGTGGCAGACTGGACACCTCCGTCCCCCACTGTGTTCCCATGATCATGGGGCCTGGGGTGTCCCTCATTATCCTCAGATGTCCACCAGCGATGACTTCTTGAATCTGGGGCACCTCCCTGGGGATCTGTGAGGTCTCTGCATGTCTGTGGGGTAGGCTGCGGGGCCCAGATACCACAGCTGTACCAGAGATATTGTCACAGCTGAAGCCAGATCTAAGGCACACTGCCACAAGCTTCAGGCCCCATGGTTCCTGGGGCACCAGCCCCAGTGACTGACATGACAGTGGCCATGGGAAAGCTGTGGACACAGCAGAGGAAGTGGAAGGGGACAGGACGGTCCTGGAGGGGAACCATGGCAGGCTGCCAATCGGGAGACCAGGACATTGTCCCCCTACTGTGGGGCAGGATAAGGCAGGACATAGCAGGAGGCAGGGGACAGAGAGAGGACCCGGGGTGCCCCTCCAGGGCAGAGCTGGTTCTGGCCTCCGTCTCATGTCCCAGGTGAGCCCACGAGCAGGTGGTCGCGAAGGGACTGGCAGACCTCAGCAACTCTTGTCATCCGCCTGGACCTCAATGTAGGGCAGCCCCACGGGCCAAGTGTCCCGCGGCCAGTAGTGGACTCTGAGGGTCTGGCTCGGCATCTCATACTTGGCATCCACCAAGGCCATGGTGACAAAGCCATAAGGGAACGTGAAGCTGATGAGTAGGTGCCTGAAGAGGGCAGGGAGAGGATGGTGAGGGCACAAGATGCCACCAGCTCCCCCCCACTGCCCTTGCCGACCTTCAGAGATCTGGGCCACCTGAAGGGATCTGAGGCTCCACCACCCACCAACCTCCTCCACCTGCCACGTCACAACACCTGGCTCTCCCCCTTGGCTCCCTACCCTGCTGCTCCAAGCTCTGGCCCCCGACCTCCTCTGATTCCGGGGATTCAGCCCCCTGGGGGTGGGGGAACCACTCACCAGATGCTGTGCAGATAGAAAAAATGAATCTGCTGCCAGAAGCTGCAGAACAAGCGATCGCTGATCCAGCTGGCCAGGGCGCTGGCCCACAGAACCACAGATACCCCAATCATGTGCCGGAGCTGCCTGCTTCTGGTCCTGGAAGGAGACAAGGAAAACAGGGCTGGCTCAGACAGCAGTGCCCGCAGGGCCTCCTGGGAAATTCCCGCCACCCAAGGATGGGCAGGGGGAAAGAACATGGCTAAAAGGTTCCTGTGAGTTAGTGCTCTGGGCTGTTAGAACTGGGAGTGTCCCCAAAAGCCCCTGTGTCAAAGGCGAAGAAGAGGTGAAACCTGAAGAACCCAGCCTTTTGGCAGACACTGCACACTGAAGACCTTGGCCTGCTCACCTCTTTCCCAGTTGCTTCCTACACATAAAAAGGCAGGCATGCTATGCATTCCAGGCCCACTGGGCCAGCACAAGAAGGCCCAAGAGATGGGACCATCCAATCATGAGCCCGAGGACACCTCGTCTTTCTCATCAGAGGAACAGAGCCTTGCTGTGTGGCCCTTGCTGACTTGTTCTCCTAGGCTCAAGCCATCCTCTTGCCTCAGCCTCTTGAGTCAGCTGAGAGCACAGGTATATGCCACCAGGGCTCTGTTAACAGCAGCAGAAACCCGGCTGACACAGTCCCCTAGTCTGTGCTTCTAGCTAAGACTTGTTACATGTGTACAGGTCACTAAGCGCAGGTGTTAACACTGGCCAGTGGTCACTAGTTGGCTTTGATGGTGAGTTTCCAATTGGCCTGGCCAATGGTTTCCAGTTTGCTTGACCCATGTGGGGGCCCGGCAGGATATTAGAAGGGTGGGAGAGGGTGCTTCTAGAATATTTATCTCACTCCTCCCTCTGTGGGGCTGCTTCAAGCTGGTTGCAATGAGGAACTAGAGATGACATCTTCAGGAAGCTCCCTTGGGCTGACCAGATAGCTCAGCATACTAAAGCACCTGCTTAGGTAGATGCAAGGGCTGAGGGTTCGATTCCTGGCCTGCCATGCTGGCCCTGCTCCCAGGGCATGCTGAGAGGGCAACCAAGACTGGGCATTGTGGCGCACACCTGTAATCCCAGGGCTTGGGAGGCTGAAAATAGGAAGATCACTATGAGGCTGAGACCTGACCCTGTAGACCCTGTACTAAATGCATAAAAAATTAAAAAAGAAGAAGCTTTCTCCATGGGAATGGGGATGGCTTCTTCTTCGTTGTGTGGTCACTCCTTCCCACCTCCCCTCCCATGACCCCTGGCCGCACATCTCTAGATGGTCACACAAAAGCCATGCTTACTAGACCAGGGGAGCTAGACAACACACACAGATGTTCCTGTGCCCTCCCCTCTCCTTTGTGTATAATCTCTTGGTGGCTCTTCTCAAATGGACTGATGTGAGATGCCAACTCTGTACTCCTAGGACTAGCATGGGTGGAAGCCAATAATTATTTAGAGAACTAATTCTTGACGAATTTAAGGATGAACATCTATGGATTCAGAGGAAACACATAACACACCCTGGTAACATGTTGATGGTTATTGGAGCTGGTTGATGGGGTGTGTGGAAGGGGACTGTAACAGTCCCTTTTCAGTTGCTGGGACAAAATACCAACATACTCCACTTACAGGAGGAAAAGGTTATTTTGGCTGATTGATTCAGAAGGTTCAGTCCACAGAGGGCTGGCTCCGAGGCTGAAGAGTCAGGGCAGAAGGGCCTGGCGGAGGAAAAGCCCCTCACCTCATGGCAGGGAGGAAGCAGAGTTAAAAAGAGCCAGAAAGGGCCGACCAGATAGCCCAGCAGACTAAAGCGCCTGCTTAGGCAGAGTGCAGCAGCTGGGGTTCGATCCCCGGCGTGCCATACTGGCCCCACCTCCAGGGCGCACTGAGACGGGGCGTAGTGGTGCGCGCCTGTAATCCCAGCGCTTGGGAGGCTGAAAGCAGAAGAATCACTATGAGTCTGATCTATGCAGTGAGACTCTGTAGACCCTGTATACCTTGTACTAAATACATAAAAAGAAAGAAGAGCCAGAGAAGGAGGGTCAGAGACAAGAAAATGACCCCTGGGGCCATGCACTCAGTGACCTCTTTCTCCTGACAGTCTCCACCTCCATGCAGCATGCTCCGCTAGGAACTCAACCTCATCAGACTTGTCCTCTGGAGGCGTTAGTGCTGGGTGACCGTGTCACCTTCCAACAGCCCCTCTTCTGAAGGTGCGAGCTTTCTGGGGCACATTTTTTGGTTTGTATCCAAACACTAACAGGGCTAGTCTCTCCACTAATCAATATGTTTTTGAGGATTTTATCATGGAAAGGGCCAGCTCCGTAGTGAAACAGACTCACGCTCAAAGGCTGGCCCCGTCCGTCACTGCAGGGAGGTCTGGGGAGAGACGCCCCTCCCAGGAGAGCATTGTCCTCTATAGCTGGAGGGACTCAGCTTGTGGAGCATGATGGGTATTAGGAGGTTCTTGGATTGGAGGCAGAGGCCAATTCCAGGAGTCTTTAGCCTCAATGTAGTTGTTTTACTTTAACAGCACTGGGGATGGCGCCCAGGCCCTTCACACTGAACTACATCCTCCTCTCTTTCTATTTTTTATTTTGAGACAGGTCTCTCTGAAGTCACTGAGTCATCCGGGCTGGGGTCCCTCCCTGCAGGCCCCATGCCTCATCCTCCCGGCGAGCTTGCATGTTGGCCCTGTGCCCCCACACCCACTAACTCACTTCTTGTACTCCAAGCGCACCATGTAGACCACATGCAGGGCAATGCTGTTGAGGGCGTAGGCATTGATCGTGGGCCTCAAGACAGACAGGAAGGTGACAATCGTGGTGCCACTCAGGATCATGCAGGTGAACTGAGACCTAGGACACGGGGTTCAACGGTGGGTGTTGGGGGCATTTGGTAAGGTCATCTTGCTGAGAGGGGGCCTGGGCTTCCTGGGTAGGGTTATGCAGGGCACAGGGAGCCCCGGTGGACTCAGCAGCAGCTGGGAGGATGCAGAGAGAGACTCAGGGGGTCCCCAGCCATCAGTGGAAGTGCCAGGCATCATGGGAGGTCAGACAAAGGGGTTTGGAGGAAGCCAGGTAGGCTCAGAGGAGGAATCCTCAAACCCAGCTGGCTCTGAGGGGCCCCAGGGGACTGAGGATGGCAAGAGTGTTGGGGTGGCACAGGTCAGGGGTTCTGGAAGGCTTGGGTGGGCCGCACGGAGCAGGAAGAGTTTTAGAGCAATGGATATGGGTGGATCAGTTGGTGCAGAGCGGGACCCGGGCGCCCTAGAGGGATCAGGTGAAAGATTCAGGGAGCCTGAGGGGGCAGTTCAGAGGCAAGGTCCCTCGGCCGAGGGAGGCATGGGCTTGGGCTCAGGGGAGCTCAGATAGCACTACAGAGGGGCCAGACACCACCCCATGAGCCCGGGCCTCACCTGCTGCCCCTGAGGAAAGTGGGGAAGTAACAGCGGGGCATCCAGATGCTGTAGCTGCTGGCCAACATCCACAGGATGGCGACCTCGTCCAACAGCTGGCCTAGGAAGCTGAGCGTGGCGTGGAAGTACATGGAGAAGAAGCCTAGGAACCAGCAGGGCATCAGGAGGTGCTGGCGCCCCCACCCCCATCTCCCCACGCCACCAGCCCGCACCTACCTATGCACACGAAGAGCGCCATGATGCAGTAGATGTAGCGGGAGCGCTTCTGGACGTACGAGTGCATGAGAAATGCCATGAGGGGCCCAAAAATGAGGAAGGTGACATTGCTGAACTGGGACAGAAGCACAGAGGGCCTTGTCAGTCGGAGGAGGCAGGGGAGGGCCGCCTGGCACTCCAAGGCCACTCGCAACCCAGGGGCTCTCACCCACTCACCTGCCACCTTCCATCGGGTCTTTCTCTTCATGATGTCATTGTTCTGTGCTGCTGGGGACAGAACCTAGGGCCTCACCTATACTAGGCAAGCGCTGTGTGGTTGAGCCTGAGCCCTGGCCCTGGCTGATCATAACAGCCCATCATATATCAACAGATCCCCCACTCCGCCTGTTATTCTTCGGGCTCATTTATTCACCCAACAAGTGTGGTGGTCAGTCATGCCTGTAATCCCAGCTCTGGGAGGCTGAGGCAGGAGGGTCAGCACAAGCTCCAGGTCATGTGGGTGCTGTAGTGAGCCCAAGGCCAACCTGCGCTGCATAGCGAAACCCTGTCTCAAACAAGTTCCACAAAAAATGTGGCAAAGACCGACTGCCAACCCGAGTATATTCCCCGCCTTTTCTTGTTGGCAGGAAGAACATCGTAGCTGCGAGTTCCATAGCCATCAATCAAACGAGTACAGTTTAAAAATATTCTGAACGTAGTCTAGTAGGTGAATGTATAAAGAAAATACAGTGTAAAACACACACACTCACACACACACACACACACAGTGGAATATCACTCAGTCGTAGAGAAGGATACATTTTTTGGGTTTGTTTTTGTCTCTTTTTTTGAGACAGAGGCTCACTCTGTAAATCAGGCTGATCTTGAGCTCACTATGTGGCCCAGGCTGACCTCAAACTTGGGACAATTCTCCTGCTTTAGTCTCCGAGGCGCTGGTGTCACAGGCGTTTGTCACCAGGCCCAGTTATAAAGGATAAAGTTGAATCATTTGCAAGACAATGGGATGTACTCTAAAATTATAAGGCTTCAGTGATGTTCTCATAGGAGAAACCCAAAACATCAATAATTTGGAAAGCAAAAAAAAGATAGCTGTTAGGAAACAAGAAGACAGACTTGTAAAGATCAGGATCTAGGGAAGAGGAACTATATGTGAATATGTACCTGTTCTCCAAGATGAATGCAATTATTATTCATCAAAAACAGATACTAATAAAAAAGGAAGCATTCCTTTGTTTTTCTCTTCTTGCTTTTGAGACAGGGTCTCCCTATGCAGTGAAGGCTCACCCTAAACTCACTGTGTAACCCAGGCTGGCAATCCTCCTGCCTCAGCCTCCCAAGCGCTGGCATTATAGGTGTGTACAACCATGCCTGGCTGAAAAGAAAACATTCTGAACATAGAGACTTTCGTCATTAGTCACTAAACAATACAATATACCAACTAGGTGTGTAGCATTTCATCGTCTTAGGTATTATGAGTCATCTAGAGACAACTGAGTCTTAGGAGAGGATTCAGCGCACTCTGCCAATAATAATACCATTTTATATAAAAGACTTGAACAACCATGAATGTTGCTCTCCAGGGAGTCCTGCAACCAACGTCCTACGGATTCCAAGGGGCGATGGTAGGACAACATCTCTGAAGTTTTGGCTGGGACACAGCTATTTATTTTATCTTTTTTTTTTTTTTATGTACTTAGAACAGGGTTGACACGGTCTCACTACGTAGATCGGACTTGTAGTGATCCTCCTGTTTTCAGCCTCCCAAGCACTGGGACTACAGGCGCGCAACCCCACGCCCAGTCTCAATCGCCATCTCAGAGTGCCCCAGGGGCGGGCTCGAACACAACAAGCCAGGGCTCGAACCCCAGTCCCTGCCCCTGCCTAAGCAGGCACTTAGTCCACTGAGCTAACTGGCCGGCCCTTGAGACACAGCTGTTTAATAAACACTACATTTCCCAGCAGACCTGGCACCTCCCTGTGACTGAGTCTGGCCAACAGGATGAGGTCATAACTGACAACTACTGCTTCCATTTCTGGCCTCTAGGCTTCTTTCTCTTTCCTACAAGGTGAAATGCAGACTTGTGGTTGTGAGTCGGCCTTCACTTTGTAGACAAGAAAAGATGATACAATACCGTAATGATGATTCCCTGCTAACAGACAGCAGGAAGTACAGAAGTGAGGTTGAAACGTACAGTGTTAGATCATAAAAGGACCTGCGGCTTCAATCTGATTCATATTCTCTCTGTCTCTCTGTCTCTGTCTCTGTCTCTGTCTCTCTTTCTCTCCCTCTCACACACACACAATGGGGATGGAACCCAGGGGTCCTCTACTACAGCACTACAACCCCACTCCCCACCTCCCACATTTTGAAAATTTTGATCCAGAAGCTCACTAACTTCCCCCAGCAGGCCTTGAACGCGTGATCTTCTTGCCTCAGCCTCCTGAGTTGCTGGTATTACAGGCATGTCCCACCATGCCTGGCCCACATGATCATCTTATTCCTAGAACACGGGACTTCGAGGCCTGGGCCTCCAAGATAGAAGCCCAGCTTCATTTGAATCCATTGTTCTGGAGCAACCGCGCCTCTGTACCAGCTCTTAGATTTTCTCCAGCTCCACTGCCGTACGCAAGGGACACAGCGTCGGTGGATTCCAGCCCGTCCTGTCTTCAAGCTGGTTCCAAGTAGAACAGAAATGAGCCATGTCCCTGCCAAGCCCACACTGATTCATGAGCAAAATAAAACCTATCCTTGTTTTCAAGCTGTGAATTTTTAGAATGTTTTGTTACACGGCATCAACAAGCTGAGACTAAAAGTAAACATATTATTGAGGGCTATTATGTCTGGGAAAGGCTTCCTGGGGAAGAAGGAGGAAACACAGACGCCAGAGGCTCTGACTGCACCTGACCAAAACCCCTGATTACATTGTTGTGGTTTGATAAAGTTGCCTGGGGGCTAATTGTCTGTCTGCCTATAATTTGATGCCTACTATATTGCAGGGCCTAGGAGAAGTTTAGTATTCCCAGATTTTTTTTCTCATCTTCAGAATAGCATCATAGATTCACAGCCAGGCATGATGTGAGATGGTGCACCCTCGTTATCTCCACCTTTGCGAGGCTGAGACAGGAGGATTACCAGGAGTTTGAGGCCAGCCTGAGACACACGGTGAGTTCAAGGCCAGCCTGCACTGTGTAGTGAGACCTTGTCTCTGAAAGAAAAGCAAGTAGAACTGATTGTCAGAGTGGTCAAGTCATCCGACTCCATCATCAGCCATTAAGTGAAGAATCTAAGGTTTGAAATCAGAGCCCAAGAACTTCTGAGTTTCTTCTTTTTCCTTCCATTCTTTCTTCTTTTCTCCCTTTTCTCTATTGCAGATTGAACCCAGAGGCTTCCTTCTCCATATACCCAACCATTTTTCATTTTTGTTTTGTGACAAAGTTCTCAGTAAATCACTCAGTTCCCCAGGTTGGGCTTGAACTTGTGATCGTCATGCCTTGTCCTCCCAGAGTGCGGTGATCAAAGGTGTTCATCCTCATGCTCAGCAAGAACCTGGGAGTGTCTCTTTTTCTTTCTTTTTTTTATTTTATCAACATTTATTATTGATACAAAGGGTTTTTTTTTCTTTTTATTAAGGTGTTTCTTATGAGATGGATCAGAATTCCATTTACCACAGCCGCAGAAATTGTTTAACAGGTGACCATCAATGTTTGACAATGTCTTCATAAGTCAAGATAACAAGAAAACCATAAAAAAAAAATATGGCAGTTATAGCACAGAGTGGAGTCTGTGCTTCAACAACCATCCTCCCTTCTCCCTAACCAAACTGTGACGTGGTTCCATAGTGGCAGGACACAAACCCCAGACCCAGAGAGTGGATAACAACAGTGTAAGTTACTCTGACTCTCCACTTTCTTTTATAATAGCATGGTTATTTCCCAGACTCCCTTGCAGCTACACACAACCATGTGACTAGGTCCTGCCAATGAAGTATAAGAACAATAACCATCTTCAGGTCATGCTCTTAAAGGGAAAGGACGAGGCTTGCCTTTACCCACTTTCTTCTGGAAAGAAGATGTGATGAGATAACTTCTTGGAACATACAGCTGAGGACAGTGGCTTAGTGAAAAGGCAAAAGATTTATTCAATCTGAAGAGAAACCAGAGTATGGACAGTGACTTAGACATATCAGAGTGATCATAGAGAGGGATCCTGTATTCCTAGTACCAGAGAACTTCCACACCAGTCCTGAAAGTTTATGATTAGATGTTGTATAAGAAATAAGGTGCAGGCTCACTGAGCTTATCCTATCCTGCCAAAAAGCTACTTCTGGCTTCCTGAGGCAGACAGGCACAGACCAGGACTCTGTCTCTACACAGCATCTACCAGGGATGGCAGACATACCTGGAAGTTACCATTATTTTTTTTCTCTTGTTTGTTTTTTGTTGTTTGTGGTGGTTCTGTTTTTGTTGTTTATTGTTTTTGCTTTTTTTCTCCTTCATTGTTTGATTTTGTTTTTATATGAGTGTGAATGTGGTTTCTAGCCTCTTTAGGGTTGTGGTTCTGGTGTGTGTGTGTGTGTGTGTGTGTGTGTGTGTTACTGAGAATTGAACTCAGGACCTCATACTTGCCAGGAAGGCTCTGTGCTACTGAGCTACATCATCAGTCCTCTGTCCTTTGTATTTCTTCCGTCTCTCTTTCCCTCCAGTCCTCTGCACCAGTTCCCCAAAGTTAGTGTGGTCTCCCTTGCCTTACAGCTACTCTTGTAATCTCTTCCTTTTTTTCTACCTCCTTATTTTTTCCTTAATCCCTTTTGAATTTTAACCCCTGATGATAAGATTGACATATATACTGCATATAATTTTCTGGTGTGTTTTAGATTTTCTTATATAACTACAAAACTAGTTAGTATGTTTGTTTTACTTTTTGAATGTATTTGGTACAGGGTCTCACTACACAGCTCAGACTTGTAGTGATCCTCCTGTTTCAGCCTCCCCAGTGCTGGGATTACAGGCGTGCACCACTGGGCCTGGTCTCAGGCAGCTCCGCATGCCTGGGGGCAGGGCTGGTGCAGTGTGTGGTATAGTTAATATGCTTAAAGATAGCAAATTAATGGTTAC